AAAAAAAAAAAAAAAAAAGAATTAACCTTAACTACAATGGCCAGTTTTAGTTAAAATAAATCAGTTATAGATACCAGAAACAAAAAGTTCCATGCTTAATTTCTGGTACTCTACTAAAAGTTTTATCATAATAAACACAATCTGTTTTTCATATACAGCAGGCTGATTTTAAGCCAATCAGATAACTTTTTCTTGGTATTTTAGTGTAAAATTTCATAAATAATATAGTCAGAAAACACGCTTACCTTCAGTAATACCAATTTAGATAAATCACCTATCTGGGGTATGTTATTGTCTGATAAATCAAGGTGCTGTAGAGCTGTGCAGCTATTGATTTGTTCCATGGCCTACCACAAGAAAATTATCATGTTAGTTCATGTACACAAAATAAAAATAAGAAACTCTTCCCTAATTCCTCGTAACTGAGTCCCGTGCCTCCTCTCCTTATTATTGGAAGCAGAGAAGAGTTTAGCAAGAAAAAAAGAGGAAGCACTACTAACACCATTTGGTACATCGTTATGTAGCAAGCTTTCATGTTCATTATCCCTCTTAACAGTAGAGGATCATGTCATCCCAGATATTTACAGCTTAAAGAAACCTTAGTGATGACACATGACAGTTGGTATAGTATAGAGTTTACGAATTAAGAGTGGAGCCAAACTAGCTGGGTTCAAATCCTTGCTCTGCAACTTCCTGGCTGTGTGCCCTTAGGCAAGTTACCTAACTTCTCTGTACTTCCATTTCCTCACCTATATAGTGGACATAATGACCATACCTACCTCATAGGCTGTCATAAAATTGAATGAGTTAATACAGTTAATAAGGTGCTTAGAATAGTACCTAGCATAAATTAACTGCTCAATAAAAGTCAGCTATTAATATCATTTAATCCAGTCCTCTCATGTAGCACATTAAGAAATAAGATACAGAGGTAATTATTAATTTACCCAAAATTATAGAGCTACTAAGTGATGGAAGCAGGACTAGAATCTAGATCTACTGACTTTTAAAACAGTATATTCTCCACTATACAATTAAACATTTACTTAAAGCTCAATGCAGCATGATATAGTCTCCCTCCTAACATTTCATGCTACTATTAGATCTACTTTTCTAAGTATAATATACATTCTTTGTTCACATTTAAAAGAACATTTTACTGCATTATATGTTTCAAAATTAGATTTTTTTTTTTTTTTAGTTTATGTTAACCGAAAGTATCCCTGCGGTGTGGGAGTAAGTACTTTTACTTTATATTATACCTATTTCTACACTACTTGGATTTCTTTTTTACAGTGAATACGTTTGTAAATTAAAAAAAGAAAACTTAATTACAAAAAAAAGAAATACTTCACCTTGAGATTATTTCCTGCCAAATTTAGCCACTCCAAATGTACTAGTTCCTTTAGCCCTTCCACATAGCCAATGCTATTATGAGGCAAATTTAACACCCGGAGTTGGGTCAATTTGGCCACACCCATCATCCGCACCAGCCGATTATTAGCCACTGACAACTGTGGAAAGGAAACATATCATTATTCTTAGGAATCAAATATATATATCACTTTCACAATAGGGTACTTAAAAAGATTTGTTTATATGGCCAAATATTCCCAAATATATAAACCCATTTTGCACTTTTCACATATATTGTCTAAATATTCTACAGATTAATTTAATTTGTTGTTGCTGTTGTTGCTATTCCTAAGCAAAGGAAAATACACATAATGCTGAGCAATAAGACTTCCTCCAACTACTACAGAGAACACATTTTTAACACAGCAATTACTTGAGAATATAACCTCCATAAGAATGGGGTCCTTATACTGTCTCAGTCAAAATCTAGAAGAGTGCCAGACACATATGCAGGGCCAAGTAAACATTTGCTGAGTAAATGAACTCTTTACCGCTATGGTGAGATACAAAGTTATTTTAACACAATATTTTGCCAATATAAAACGTTCTATTTTTTAACAAATGCCTCTTTTTCTAGTTTAAATGTAGCACATATGTGTTCATCTTCAGGAGAAACTGTCATGTAAAATTTTAAGGCAACATTTACTACTTTCCAGGCCTGCAGAGTAACTTTTTGTTAGGTTACTTTTTTTATTAGGTTATTATATTGTTTTATTATATATAATAATAAGATGATCCTATATAACTATTTCCCCAGATAGTAATTAATACCTACCTGTATTAATCGCTTGCATTTCTCAAGATTTTCCAATTTAATAATTTGGTTTTTATCCAGAATCAAAGTATGAATATCAGCTTCACAGGGTAAATTTGGACTTAATTTCTGTAGCCCTTGCCCTGACCAATTGACCACTGATCCTAGAAAGAAGGGAAATTGTTAAAAAAAAAACCACACACACACACACACACACAAATACAACAGCTGAGCATAGGAATGGAATTATACTCATAAAATCTCTATACACTTAGAGTTAGAAAACACTAAAGCATTATAAATATCAAGATTTAAAAACTAAAGCAATCAAGTTCTAAATGAACACAAATTATTCACTATTCCTCAGAAATATCAATTACATTGAAACTTGTGACATTCTACTCAAGTGTCTATGATGTAATATTTTGTAATTCTTCACATTTAAATATGAACTACTAGTTCCACATTTTGTTCCTACATAATGATAGTATTTTTTTTAAGTGGAACTAATCTTTTGACAGCGATCAACCTGCTTACAATCTACCAGTATATCCTAAAGTGCCCAAACTATTTTGAATATCAAAGTATAGGTCGGTTAATTTATCTACAAAATGGGAGTAATACACCTAATTCACTAAACTGATGTGGGGGTGAAAAAAGAAACCATATGAACAGCACTCAGCCCCATCCCTGGCACAGGGCACTCAATAAAGTAATTTAGTATAACAGATGTTCAAATCCTGGCTCCCTCAACAATTGTGTTATCTTGGGCAAATTATTGATCTCTTTGGGGCTCACTTTTCTACTCTGTAAAGTGGGGGTGATAATACATGGCTTATAATGTTGTTCTACAAAAAAAAAATTAGATGATGTAAAAGGAAAAAAAGCACTCAGAACATCGTCTGTCTCATATAAAAAGTGCTCTGTAAATGCTAACCGCTACCATTGTCAGTCAAGTGCCTCGGTGAGCTGGGGAAGTGGAGTTTAAGAGGAGATATCAGAGGGAGGCGGGTCCAGAGAAACTGCCAATTTCAAATTTATACCCAGATTAAAATTATGCAAGAAATAATTATATGAGATTGCTGTCCTGATGTGTTTCAACGTTTTCCCATTGTCTAATGGCTTCTAGCATTTGCGAGGGGTCATGGGATTCGCTGAGAATTTGGTGAAAACTGTCTACTGTCCCAGGAAAACGCACACACTTTGCACATTCCAAGGGGTCGACAAACCTCTTAGAACCATCGATTTCCCTCACTCCCCGCCCCCACCGCAAGAATATAATGAGCCCCATATCTAAGCCGTGGAGACAGGCCTGGACCCTCAGCCCTGCCCCCGACCCAGACGCCTGCTGCCGAGCCTCAGAGCTGTAACCAAAACAAAGGAGCTCGGCTCACACCTGGCGGCTCCCGGCCACAGAGGCACCCACGCCCCGCGCTCCGCTGGGCAGCGAACAAACCCGATCCCAGGACCCCGTCTGCAGAATGAGGGGTGGAGAACTGTGGGCTCTGGATCACCCCCAGATTTTATCACTGCCACTGGACACTTTCAAAAGGTTCAACGTCAGTCTAGGGAGCTGTGTTTGACAGAGGGTTTCTTGAACGTTCTAGGAACCGAGGGGAAAGGGAAACACGTAAAGCGAAAGGGGAATATCCTGCACTTTTCACTTGGGCACGCCGAACTCAAAGTAAACATCCTAGAAACATCACCGCAGTCCGAAACCCAACACCCAGGTAGCCTCAGGAGCGCGGGAGCCGGGTGCGCTCGGCCACGCGAAGGCCCCTGGGGGTTGCAGTCTCCCGGCCGGCCCTCACCGCAACTCCGGAGAGCTAGGCAGAGCCCGGGGACTACAACTCCCAGAGGGCAGAGCGCCTCCACGACGCTCACAGATCCCCATCAAAAGAACTGGTCCAGAACTGCACCTCTAAATCCAGGCTTATTCTCTCCACAGGCAACTATTTAATTCAGTTCCATAGAGTAAACCTTGGGACTCAAGGGTGGGAATCGCCTTACCTTCTCCAGGAGGCAAAGGCGAGTCAACGCGTGCCACCGCCATACTTCCCGCTTGCTAATACCAAGCAACCGTCCTCCGGCAGCTCTGTGGAGCTTGTAGTCGGGTGGAGGAAGCCGGAAACTACAACTCCCAGGATGCACGGCACCCAGAGGCCCAATTGGCTGCCTACGCCTAATGATGTAAAAGGGTTAGAATCTGAGCCGCAGTGAGTTTAGGAACCCTGGTCAACTCCCTTATTTGACAGATGAGCAAACTGTATTGTTAGATGAACATTTCACTCCCTTTTGTAGGCGTTTGCGAAATTTGACACTTTTACTATCGGGGTGATTATAAGATCACTGCTTAATGCAGATTGAATTTGAGAACTCATTGCCAGAAAGTCTTTATGGGGTCTGCCCCTTCTATTGACAGTTCTGAATAACTTGAAAGTTTTCAATTGTACTGTAGGAATGGCTTGGGCTATCTTGCTGAGATAGTCAAAATGGAGACCTTTTATTTGAAAGGTAATTAAAGCATACTGGGATAGAAGCTTTATATGGTATTTTTAAATGGTTATTCTTCAATATTTAACAGAACTTTAGACCTGGGAGTATATTTGATTAAATAAGAACCTAGAACTTTTCTAGGGAGAACACAAAAGAGGTTTACTATTTCGTCTCCAAACTAAAGAATTACACTGTCTAAACGGAGGAAAATAGGCTCACACTTTTGATACAACTACTACATGCTAACTAGTGTGATTGTAACTATGAACTCAAGGAGATTTCAGGGAATGGAGAAAGAAATGAAAACTACAACCTTCAGAGAAGACTTGAAGGAGGAAATAAAATGGAGTTAGGGCTTAAAAGACAGGTAGATGCTAAACAGTTCAGAAGTAGGTGAAAAGACATTAGCACAGGCTGCAGGTGAGGGCAGGTGGTAATGAAGCTGTGCTCACAGGAAGAGAGAAACTAACCTGATAGCACCACAGAATGTACAAAGGGAGTTTCCAATTTCTACTACCCATTTCTCTATTCCCTCTTGCAACCTTTATTCTGAACCTCCCTCTTTCTGAAACAGCTATATCCGAAATCTCTGATAATTTCTATTTGGGAAAATCCAGTAACTCATGCTTCTAGATTTACAGGCTCTTGGTTCTGTAAGCATTCCCTCCTTCCTGGGTTCTCCTCCTATTTCTCCGACTACACCTACTTAACTTTTCTTTTTCTTTCTTTTTTTTTTTTTTTTTACTCTCTTTTCCACTGTTTTCATCTAGAGGCAAATTTCCTAGTTCTGAAGAGGGAATTAAGACTAGGAATTTTTTTCTTCTAACAAGGAAACTCCTTTCCTAAAAAGCACAGTCTTATCATATAGGTACAAGAATAAAGCAAGCCTGAATTCTGCCTCCTACTAACCTTTGTGCCCTGGAATTGCTGGGGAGGATTAAAGAGAGACTACAGCTCAGCGAGGGAGGAAGGGTGACAGTTCTGTCCAATTTAGCAGGGCAATGACTTGGGAGGGGAATCCTGGAAGCCGAGAGAGTACTTGAGCACAAGTTCCTGCAAGTTTACAGCAATAGCAGAACCAGAGTTTTGCCTGGTTCATCTGACCTGGGATCCTGAGGAAGGGCCAAAGGATTTCTTTTGGTTAACTAACTAGGGTCATGGCTCTCAAAGAGAGTGGTGAGATGTTCCTGGCCAGATGTCCCATATGCTCAAGTGAACCAGCAACCCTTTAAATCACACCGCAGAAACTCTTTTCTGCTTCACATAGTACTTTTACATCTAAAATCAAATTGCTACACTTAACTATTACTAAACTGCCTCATCATGTATATATGTTAAACCGTGCAAGCTCCGATCAATTTGGAGGATTCTACTAACCAACACTATGAACCTCTCAACAAGGTAGCATTTTTTTGGCAGGCACAGGCCCCACAAGAAAGACTTTTCTTCCTATCAGCACAGTATACCTGATCTCTGCCACAGCTGATAGTCCTGACTCATGTCCCCTGTCTCTAATTCACCTGCCCACTGCTACTGGCATGATCTAAGTAAAACAAAACCATTTATCATGTTAGTCCCTCCTCAAAAACTTCCCTCTTGAAATTCAGCTTTCAAGGGCCACCATAATCTGGCCTCACCCTACTTCCCACCATTCATTTTACTCGTTTTCACTTGGTGTTTTTGAGTGAGGGATTGACAAAATGAAATGTGTCTCAGAAAGGTTAAGCTGCTCATATAACAAGGATGAATTGAAAAATAGAATAGTGGCAGGAAGGAGACTATTGTAATAGTGGATGGTAACCTTTAACAGAGTGGTTTCAGGAAAGTATTATATACAAGTTTAGATAACATGAAGTTAAGAGACTAGGTAGAAAAGAAACTTGAACAGCACTAGTGGATAGTTCAATTTATCTCGACAAAACAAAGGTTTTCTAATTAGGATGAAAACTTATACTCAAAAGAAGTAAATATAATAATAACTTTGAAGTTTTAAGTTTTTTGTTGTTGTTTTTTAATTAAAGTTTATTGGGGTGACAATTGTTAGCACAGTTACATAGATTTCAGGTGTATAATTCCGTAATAATCATCTATATATCACATTTTGTGTTCACCACCCAGAGTCAGTCCTTCCTCCATCACCATATATTTGATCGAAGTTTTAAGTTTTAAAACTAAGAAGTTATTAATATAAAGACTGATACTGTCAAAATTTTAAAATTGTGCCAATTTTGTTTTACAATAAAACATATTTACATAAAGGTGTAAAATATGTAAAAAATCTTTATGTAAAGGTGCATAAAATTAAATGTTTTCTTTTCTGGTTAGTATTCATCAGTAGACTCTTATGGTCCTGCTCCTGTAACAGGGCCCAGTTGGGACCCCCACAAAAGAGGCCTTGCAATGTCCCTGGCCTTGCCTGTCCCTGCCCTAGAGCTTAGCAATTGAAAAACCCCCTTCTTACGGTTTGAGCTTAGAATGTCCCCTGTCCAGTTCCTTGCTTTAGATAATTACCCTGAAACTTGTGCTTGCTTACTGATCACAATACCCCATGCTTAATAATCTCAATCTCTATGGCCTAGCATTCTTTCCAGGTTACTGTCATCTCTCCTCCTGGGTTGATGACCATGTTGGAGAGCCACATCGTCAGAGGGAGGAACCATCACATAGCCTCTGGAGGAATGTCCAGATTTTCCCTTAAATATCCCAGGCTGATCTGAGAATGTTAAGGCAGTTTTTGAAGGTGTTAACCCGCTGCTGTCTCAGACCACTGGTGCTCTGATAATAAACGCTTATTCTATGACCCAGCTCCTGTGTTGGTCTATTGGCTGCGCAGCTCAGGCAGCTCGAGCCCTGGACTCGTTTGGCCTCCGGTTTCACTCCCTAATCTATGACTACAACATGGAAAAAGAGACGGCCACAATGAAATATCTATTCATGGGTTATCTAGAAGCCCCATATGAGCATTAACTTTCCTCATTTTATGTATTATTAAACAGGTTAATACATGATAATAAAAACCAAACAGTGCAAAAGATTATACACTGACAGTTTCATGTGTTTTCTCTGTGCAATTGTCTAGAACAGGGGTCGGCAAACTTTAGAGACAGAAGAGCCGATCCTGTCCCTCACAACAATTTAAAAATTATTTGAGAACCATAAAACAAATGAAATCACCATTACGTGAATAATATCCTCTAAAAACTTTATAAATGAAACTATGATAGTTTCATTTTCACTTTCAATTTTACTTCAGAGCCACATGTACGTACCCAAAGAGCTGCATGTGGCTCGCGAGCCGCAGTTTGCTGACCCCTGATCTAGAAGAGGGGCTGCAGTTCTTTCAGATTATCGAAATGGTCTGGAAATCAGAAAGAAGTTTAGAACCAAAGTTAAAAAATTTCAATAATAAAATTCTACCATAATATTTGGATGAAAGGGCTAACTATTATGTCTTCTTATTATAAAGAGGTTCTAGCTGGGCTTCTGTGCAGGGGTTAGTGCTGAATGAATTGGAAGCTGTCTCAGGGAGAGGGAAACAAAATAGTGAATGACTGTCTCCTCCACCCATCTAGATGTAAACTGTTAGCCCAGCATTCTCCAAAGCAATGAGATTTCAGGAAGGTGGACAGAACAGTTTTAAGGCATCAATCCTAAATACTATGCAATGTCAGAGCCAAAATAATGAATATAGAAGGATTAGCCCTCTCAAGATGAGATACTAACATTTTTATTTTATTTTTTCCCCATATGATGTATCAGCTAATATCTGAAAAAAAGAAAAGGTCAGGGGCCAGCCGAGTGGCTCAGTTGGTTAAGCACTTGCTCAAGAGTGCAAGCTCTGAGCAACAGGGTTGCTGGTTCGATTCCCACATGTACCAGTGAGCTGTGCCTGAGCTGAGCTGCCACTGAGCTGCCAACAGGTGGCAGGATGGCTCAGCTGGTGAGAGCATGTGCTCCTAACAACAAGGTTGCCTGTTCGACTGGTGGGCTACGCCCACCCGCAACTAAAGACTGAACTCGGCACCTTGAGCTGAGCTGCCACCTGGGTGGCTCAGTGGATAGAGCATGCGCTCTTAACAACAAGGCTGCTGGTTCGACTCTCACCTGGGATGGTGGTTACACCCACCTGCAACTAACTGAACACAGCACCTTGAGCTGAGCAGCATGACTGGACTTGGAGCTGAGCTTGCTGTGCCCTCCACAACTAAGAATGAAGGACAACTTGGCAGTCCCCCTTCCCCAATTCCCCAACACTATTCCCCTTCCCCAATTCCCCAATAAAGTCTTTTAAAAAAAGAAAAGAAGAAAAGGTCAAAGTAAAAAGAAATTTCAAGAATAAAGCCACTGTGAGATATTTTCCTGGTACCTTTATCTGATTAACTGGGAAGAAGTTGTCAAAGTTCTAACTTTATACATGAAAGACTTCAAGTGCTTTAAAGCTCAGAAAGTTCACTTATAAGAGTGATAGTTTTACTCTTCACCCTTACCCCATTCTTGATTCATTTTTTAAAATAAGGGGTGTGATGGTTAATTTTGTGTATCATCGTGGCTGGGCCCCATTGCTCAGATGTATGATCAAACATGATTTTGGATGTTCCTGTTAGGGTGTTTTTATATAAGATTTACATTTAAATTGGTATACACTTTGAGTAAAGCAGATTGTCCTCCATAATGTGGATTAGCCTCATCCAATCAGCTGAAGACCTGAATGAACAAAAGACTGATCTCCTCGAAAAAGCATGGAATTCTCTGGCAGACAGCCTTTGCACTTGAACTGCAACACTGGCTCCTTGCTGGCTTTCCAACCTTCCAGCATCCTGCAGATTTTGGACTTGCCAGCCTCCATAATCTTATGAGCAAATTCTTTAAAATCTATACACACACACACACACACACACACACACACACACACACACACACACACACCCTATTGATTCTGTTTCTCTGGAGAACCCTAGGAGTTTTGGGGGGAAGAGAGGAGAGATAATCAACTTCCAAGTAGCTTTTAAATACTGAAGTCTTCATTCTGTAATTATATGTGATGGTCTACCTCATTTGGGGCTCTATTATCATCAGTTAGAGATATGAAAAATTTGGTCAATACTAAAGGGAATTTCTCTGAGGAGAAGGAAAATTCAAAGTATAGATGAATTACTTGCCTCTCAAATATGGCATACACTAGTGTAGCTTATATAAGTGATCTAACTAAAATAATTATTGGGATAGTACTACTACACAGTTGCTTGTGCACAGAATGTCAGACAAGATTTCAAACTATAATGCAAACAATAATCTCCAAAGGAGTCTAAATACATCTTTAGATGTTTCTTTTTCCTTCAAGATATATCTCCTATTTTAAAATAATGTAGCATGTATCCATTTATTTTTTAAAATACATTATTGTAAAAATCTTAGGAAATACAGGCAAGCAAAAAGTAAAACTAAAAATCTTACATAATCCCCATACCCAGAGACAGTCACTGTTAACATGTTGGTATGTTTCCTTTCAATCTTTTAATAATGGGAATATATCTAGACTCCATGCCTCCATATATTTTTTAAAACAAAAATGGATATATTTGTACATAGATTTGGTCCTGCTATTTTCAAGTAATATGTTTTGAAAATTTCCCTGTGACCTATTTTTGGTTGTTTCATACCCTTTAAAAATTTTTACCTTTTCTTCCTTTCCAGTTAAGAGAGGATAATATCAAACAGGAATATATAAAGTATATTGATATGCTGAAGAATGCAATTTTTGTTTCTTTTATTTTTTTTTCAAAGATTTTATTGGGGAATTGGGAGAGGGAACAGAGCTGGGGAATTGGGGTAAGGGGAACAGACAAGTTGCTGTCCTATTGTTCTTCAGTCTAGTTGTAGAGGATGTTGCTTCACTGGCCCATGTTGGTATTATCATTGTGCTCTTCCCAGGTGAGACAGATCAGTCGCCAGGCTCTGGGATAGCCGCTCACAGGGGCTCTTGGCAGCTCAAACTGGCTGCTGGCCGCTCACAATGGCTGCCGGCCACACACGGTAGCTTATGGCAGCCCACTGCAGCAGGGGCTGCAGCCTACACCGTCGCCGGCAACTCATGGCAGCCCAGCTCCAGATCGACCTGTTGTGCACCGTCTTAGCTGTAGAGGATGCAGTGTCACTGGCCCTAATGTGGGATCTGAACCAGGACCCTGCTGCTCAGAGCTGGCATCCCAAGCCAGCTCTTAACCAACGTGCCACTTAGCCGGCCCTGAAGAATGCAAATTTATGTGATAACTTTTTCTTTTCTGAAATTTTACTTTCAAAACTTTTAAATCATTAAGATTTCATAAGATTTTAATATTTAACTAGAACACAAATCTATAGTACAGAAGAAATAGGAATAACAATGTCTTTAAACTAAAATGTAAATTGCCTTCCATGCCCTCAAATGAAATATTAACTCAAAAGGCTACTTTATATAGAGATTCTCTAGCAGGGGTTGGCAGACCATAGCCTAACATTATTTGATTCACAAGTTTGAACCAAAAGCAATATCTCCATTCTCACACAAATTTGCAGTGGTTATATTTTTCAAGCTCAAACTACAGTTTTAGCAGTGTTTTACGGACTTCAGTGCAAATACAATGGAAATTTTCATATTTCAAGACCCATTTACCTGTGCAATTGAGGAGCTTTCACTTAACTTTAAATTGGAAATGATTAATCTGACATTCTAAAAAGAAAATATTAAGAGAATAATCTAATATAATTCTATAATTGCCTTCCAAGAGATTAATATGCTCAGTTTAAATCACATGTCCTTGAATTGATATCAGTATTGGACAATTTATCTGGGTGAAAAGACATTTTTCAAAGATTAAATTTGGAAAATATCATTACAGATCAGGATTACCAGATGAACATTTGCAGTTGATTTTGATGATAGGAAATAACTTTGAACCCTAATTAAGAGAAATGTTATCCTCCACCTCCCCAAAAAGGAATTTCATTCTTTTATTTTAGTAGACATGTTTTACAAAAACTTGTACTCAATTGTTTAAATTTCATCAATGAAAATTAGGAAATTGTTTTTTTCATTATATAAACACCTATATAATATTCTTAATTTTTCCTCTTAGCCTACAAAGCCTAAAATACAATATTTACTATTTGCAGACCTCTGTTGTAGAGCAAATAAAATCTGAGTAGAAAGTTAGCCAGTAGAAGGAAAGAAAGATTTCTAGCCAAAGAAGACAGCTTGGGCATATGAGTGAGAACCAATAGAGTATGTAAAAAATAGTAAAGTTATTACATACCAAATCATATAAACATCATGCTTCGTTCCTGCTTTTTTGAGACAATTAGTAATACCATTTTCTTCCAGAAGATGGCTCCCTTTGTTTTCCCAAAATTTTATGACGAAAAAATTCACTACAAAAAAATTTGAAAGAATTTTATAGTGACTACTCACAAACTCACCACTTTGATTCTCTTATCAAAATTTTATTATGCTTGTTTTATTGAATAGCTATCGCTCCACCCATCTTATTTTTTGATGTATCAGTACACCTCCTCCTATATACTTAAGCATGTATTTCACTAGTTGGTGCTCACTCAATATTTCTTTAAAATTTCCTTTATTAAGATAAAATTGACATACAATGAAATAGTCAAATCTTAAACAAACATTTCCTGAGTTTTGATAAACTCTGTAATTAACCCTAGACTCATAAAGATATATATAGAACATTACCATTAACAAAGAAAGCTCTCTTATACTTATATCCCTTCCCATTCAATCTTTCCCCTCCCACCCAGAAGCAACCACTGTTCTGGAATAAGGCTGCAATAAACATTCTTATATAAAGTTTATTTTTGCTTTAACAAATTTTTTTTTGGATTTTTTTTTAATTGGGGAATTGGGGGGATGGGAACAGCGCTGGGGAATTGGGGAAGGGGAACAGACAAGTTGCTGTCATTTTGGTCTTCAGCCTAGTTGTGGAGGACGTTGTTTCACTGGCCCAAGTTGGCACCATCACTGCGCTCTTCCCGGGCAAGGCAGATCAGTCGCCGGCTTCTGGACGGCCGCTCACTGCGGCTGCTGG